TAACCAATCCTGGCCGTACTCGCACTTACGGCACTAGTTACCGTGTAAGTGCGCCAATAACTTGGCTTATCCCTCAATTTCCCAATTTCCCACCGTTCCAAAAAAAAAAAATTCCTGGCGGTTCCCCCCCATTGGCCTTCATTCATCAAACCATATGACACCGTATGACAAATACTTTATGACCTCAATCCGGTTTGACTGTCGACGTGTTCCAAAATCTTTGGTCTTTGACTCTCTGTGGGGTTTTCTTTTTCCCCTTTTAAGTTACGTTTAGAGTTTTTTTTAAGTGAATTTTTGTAAAACTTAAGATTAGTTCTTCTATCTTTTATAAGAGATTATGGATTCACTTTTTACATTAATTTAATGTATATAAGTAAATTAAATTTTTGAAGTGTTGCTTTCAACACTTGAATTATAATTTTTTTTTTCTTTCACAACCATAAACTTATTAAAATAATCTTAACAAAAAGTAAACGTTTTAAGACATACAATAAGAAAAATTATAAAGCAATGATTATTATTTTTTAAATTATAAATTATAAAAATAAGATTGAGGTTGCGTTCGGGATCTTACCATGTTTTTTCACACTATTTATTATTAGATGTATGAATTTATTATGATTAAATTAATTTTTATTAATATTTTATATAATTTAATAATCATATTAGTCTATAACACTCTCTCTAAAATAATCATCAAATAAAATGATAGTAAAATACTAAAACAACTACAATCAAATCACTTCATAACAACTCCATATGAAATCTAAAATTAACCAAACCAAGCAAATAAATAAAATATATTGGGGACAATAACAAAAGAATAGAACTAATAAAAACTTGACTAAATTTATATATATTAATTTAAAAACCAAAATCAGAATTTAAAACCAATGTCAAGTAGCTCTACATGTAATGTACCCCAAAAAAAAAAAAAAAAAAACACACACACACATACACACACACACAAAAGATTAGGTTTCTAAACATAAGATTATAACAAATTGTTTTCCTTCATGTTTTCATCGTGCTTTCCTTTTCTCTAGCTTCTAGCACTTCATCTGGTTTTCTCTGTGAATGTTGATACCAAGCTCTCAATACATGGAGTCAAAGGATACCACCAGTACTTTGAGCGGTCGTTTCTACTGCCAAAGAATTCAAGCTTAATCTCCTTACATGATGCTTCATTTGGTTCATATAAAAAAAAAATCTTGTCTTTCTTCAGCAACCATTAAGCAATTGCCATTTCCAGTGAAACAAATGGGACTGATACAATCCTCTTCGATTGGAGGATACCTCACTGGGTTGAAGACGTTCTGCTCAATAGAAATTTGAAAAAATTTAATCCAAGATTTTGTTCCTGTCACCTCATCATTTTCCTTCATTATCCACGCATTAAAATTAACATGATCATCAGTCTCTATCATGAATAGAGATTCTTTCAAGGGATGCAAAGAAACATACCTCCTTCCACTTAATAACATCTCACTTAGAGATGTCTCCTCTATCATTCTATTTCTGCCCAAATCTAAACTTGCTATATCATCAGCTCCATTATTATCATCAACTCGTCTCTTTTTGATAGCCCAATAGATGTAGCCATTGACATGTGCTGCATATGATGAACTGAATGTGTCACAATCAAACAAGTAGTGTATGTCATTTTGAGCAATTTCCCATGAGTCCATCTTAAGCCCCAAGCACTGGATTTTAGCTGGTATGTTTTCGAAAGTTGTGACTAATACGACCTTGTAGTCATCACTGGTGGAGTCGTAACTGAACCCGAAGTGTTGCTCTATCTTCTCTAAAGAGCGTTGATCAGGGGCACGAAGTCTCTTTTGTTCCTTTGTTGATGGGTTCCAAACAACCACGGCTTTCCAATTCATTATTTCCTTGGAACACAAGAGGACACACAAGAGGCCGTTGCAGTGATCTACGATATCGTAATATACCTCGTGTTGCTGCATTGGGAACTTTGGTTCCACTGGTTGAAATAGAAATATCCCATCTTCATCTCCATTAATTGTTGTATGGAACGCCTATGGTAAATTCATCTGCATCGTTAACGAAGAGAGGATGTATAGACGAACTGGTTTTCATGTGTATCCGAATGAATTCTGAATTGGAAAACAGAAGATGCCATTGCTTGGATACACATTTGAATCGAACCAGGGACCGGACGGGAAGCCTTAAAAGAATTTCCTCAATAAGATCCTGTGTAAATTCGACTTGCACTGCCATGTAACGAGGTTGTCATCGGGGTTTGGAGGAAGCCAGAGCACGGAGGGAATTGAGAGAAACAATAATCTATTTATAGCCAAAAACAAAAAAGCCTAATCCTGATTTCACTAGATGATTGTTTACCGCCGTTAGCGCTTTGGATTGAAATTTTGTCTTCTTTCCAATGGAATTGGAAAACATGCACTGCACCGCAATGCAATTGAAAATGATTGGTTGAAAGATTATTATTATTTTTTATAAATTTTTCATATAACTCTATATATTATTTAATATTAATTTTTTTAATTTAGTAAGACTTATAATATCCTGATATTATATATTCTTTTCTTTAAATAATATCATGATAATGTATAGAAAAATTATATAAAATGTTATATGTATATTATTTCCCTTGTCAATTTCTTTAAAAAAGTTTTAGAATATATAGGGTTAAAATTTGAACCTTCAATTAAATTTCTTATATTTAAATTTTGAAATAAATACAGAGGAGAAAATGTAAATGGAGCAAGTTGAATCTATAATTCGAGGGTCCTAAAATTATTAAAAATTAAGAATCATGAATCTAAAGCAATATAAAAGCAGTCTCCTATTAAGGAACAAAATCCTAAGAATCTAGCACGCATAACCTGGCTATAAATTTAGAATTGGTATACTCTGTGTCTATTGACCTTGTTGGAGCAAATTCTAATATGATTACTTCTCCCGGCATTGATAGCTCAACTCAGGAAAATGAAGACAAACAAAATATGCAGATGTTAAAGGTCACTTGCAGCAGGGTATCTTATTTATGGAGATCAGAAGGTATTTAATTATTTGATAGGATCTTTCTAATTTCAACTAATGAAAAAAGCAGGTCTATGTCCAAGGGTTACACTAAAACTGATGATTAATTGATAGTGACAACAGAATCACAGTACTGAGTAGCTAGTTTGTTGGTACTATGACTTTCAAATTCCATAGGTGAAAAATGCTACTTACCTTGTCAAGTGATGCTGAATTGAAACCAGACTCGTACAAGTGAAGTGATATCCCCTGCTTCTATTTATGAATACACAATTGAATGCCACCTTCTTTCCTACACTTGGAGGAAGTCCTAGTACTCTTATCATTTTCTGACACACTTTACCAATTAAAGAAACAGGAACAATATTTGCAATTTGAAACTTAACTGGTAAAATTTTCATTACATTCAAATTGGATAGGTGTGAAAAATTCAGTGTAGGATAACAACACATCCACATATCATACAAAAGACAATCTCTCTTAGAAAAACGTAAAAACATCCAACACAACACTCACAAATTCCAGAGTAGATTTCCTCCTACTGGTTTCTCGTACGTAACGTAAGTCCTCAACATCAGCTATACGATGTGCCTGCAAGAAAACAAGTAAAAGCAGTTACTACCAAAAAGGAAAACAAAAGAAAACAATTATGTTCATGAAAGGGACATTAGTTTCATATTCCTTACATTTGAAATTTAGACTTGTGCGTTCTTCCCAGTGTCCTTCATGCGATGAGCTCCAAAGTCATCAGTGCTGGCTTGACTAACGGGCTTCCTGGCATTGGCAGGGGGAATACGCGGTAGCAGTTCAGTCAGACGACCTCTGGGATCTAACAATCCAAGGATATGGGAGAACACAGAAAGGAGACGCTTATCCTTTGTTTCTTTCTTCTTGCACCCAGGAAGCACTGAGTTCCAGTAAAAATATAATTGTTTTTTGGCACAGAACCCAAGCAATTTTCTGAGGAAAAGAAATAACTAACTGATATGATGAACAGAATCTTCAAGAACGGGCCTGCAACTTGAAATTGCATCACAATTGGGACAATTTAGCAAGTTTGGATAATACCAAGTAGTGATACAATTCCTCTTCTCCATTATTCTCTTATTGATGAATATAAAAGCAGCCATTTCCGACAAATCCTCAGGTAAATCCAAAGCAATGATTGACTGTCCTTTGCATTCCTTGCACTTAATAGCCCCAGAAATTTTCCGAATGCCTCTCGCCCAGAGAGTTTCTTTTGTTTCAATTATCTATGGAAATTCTGCACGTGGACTCAACACAAGATTTGTATCCAACCTAAAACCAATTGACAATAGGTAGAGTAGCCCTCCTTATATTTAACCCACAAACTTCTTATTTTTATGCTCGATGTAAGATTTTTCCACTTAACACGCCCCCTCACGTGCATGCCCGCTATGTATGTTGGGTCCTATCACGTGGATTAACACCTACCATCGAGTCTTTCATGTCCATCATCAGTGGAACCCAGTTCTTCACAAGAAGTGACTTCTTTACCGGCTTCAAATCATTTTACAAGGGCTACTATGCTGCCGTCACACATCACATCATTTTTCGTTATTCCCCGTGCGAATTCAGAATTTTGACCCAAGCTCGACTGATCTCCACATTCTTGCACCGAGGGCAAGAAATTCTCCTCCTCCTACCAAAGGTACACCATGCCTTTATCTCAAAATAGTTAACCATAAATTCGACAGAGTCGCCTCAGCCAATAGTGCGGTTGCCAGTACTAGACCCACCTTCAGAAGTTCTAGTACCCCTTCCGGTTAGTGTCTCTGGAGTAGTTGACATCCGGGGTTTGATAATGTGAAAATTGTGCATGTGGGCTCAACACAAGACTGGCATCCAACCTAAAACCAATTGGTAATAGTTGGAGTAGTCCTCTTTGTATTTAACCCATAAGCTTCTTATTTTTATACTCGATGTGGGATTTTCCCACTTAACACGCCCTCTCATGTGCAGGTCCGCTATGAATGTTGGGTTCTATCACGTGGGTTAACATGCCCCCTTAAATGCAAGCCCAATATCTTTAACTTCGGGTCCTGTCAAATGGGCAACAATGGGCTTCCCAGGGCAAAACTTGGGCTCTGATACCATGTGAAAATTGTGCATATGGGCTTAACACAAAGCTTGCATTCAACCTAAAACCAATTGACAATAGGTGGAGTAGCCCTCCTTGTATTTAACCCACAAGTTTTTTATTTTTATACTTAATGTGGGATTTTCCCACTTAATACGCCCCTTCACGTGCAGGTTCGCTATGAATGTCGGGTCCTGTCATGTGGGTTAACACCTACCATTGGGTCTTTCATGTCCATCATCGGTGGAACCCATTTCTTCACAAGAAGTGACTTCTTTACCGACTTCAGATAATTTTACAAAGGCTATTATGCTCTCGTCACACATCACATCCGATCCTCTTTCCAAAGCTTTGAGGTTCAAAGAATCCTACTCCACCGTCATCCTTAGTGGAAAGTCAGAAAGACTATTCAGCAGTAGTTTATAAGGTTGAACCACTGCCTCTGTCATGGCTTCTTTCTCCTCGTCTTTCATCGGCCATGCTCAATTCTACAAAAGAATCAACTTCTTTACTTGCTTCCGTTTACCGATACAATCTCTTTGAAAGGGCTACTTCGTTGCCATCAGGACCATCACCAATGACGGATACTACTGTTGTAAGGACAGTCCAGAACCTTCCTTTTTCGTTATTCCCTGTGCGAATTCAGAATTTTGACCCAAGCTCGACTGATCTCCACATTCTTGCACTGAGGGCAAGAAATTTTGCTCCTCCACCAAAGGTACACCATGCCTCTATCTCAAAAAATTTAACCATAAATCTGATAGAGTTGCCTCAGCCAATAGTGCGGTTGCCAGCACCAGACCCACCTTTAGAAGTTCTAGTACCCTTTCCGGTTAGTGTCTTTGGAGCAGTTGACATTAGGGTTTTGATAATGTGAAAATTGTGCATGTGGGTTCAACACAAGGCTTGCATTCAACCTAAAACCAATTGGCAATACTTGGAGTAACCCTCCTCGTATTTAACCCACAAACTTCTTATTTTTATACTCAATGTGGGATTTTCCCATTTAACACGCCCTCTCATGTGCAGGTTTGCTATGAATGTCAAGTCTTGTCACATGGGTTAATGCGCTCCCTTAAATGCAGGCCTAGTATCTTCAACTTCGGGTTCTGTCAGATGGGCAACAATGGGCTTCCCAGGGCAGAACCTGGGCTCTGATACCATGTGAATATTGTGCATGTGGGCTCAACACAAGGTTTGCATCCAACCTAAAACCAATTGGCAATATGTGGAGTAGGCCTCCTTGTATTTAACACACAAGTTTCTTATTTTTATACTTGATGTGGGATTTTTCAACTTAACAGTAGGTTGCATTGGTCGATTGCGGTGGGAAGGAGGATCGGTGAGGCGCTTGCAGAAAGACAACTTCTTTCCGCGGAGGATGGTGGGGCCGCACAGAGAATGGTGAAACTTCTTCAGCAGTTTTGGGTTGAACCTTGTGTGGCCCTTCCCCTTCCCCTTCCATAGTCGGAATGGTTGACAATGATGGTGGAGACTGCGGCAACATCATGTTAATTGTTCCTCCAAGTCTTAATGTAAGGTTTGGCTCCGACACATTGTTTTCTTCTAGTTCTTCGGGACGGTAATGAGGTGGAATGAGGGTTAAGTTTAGGTCAAGAGGATCCATTGAAATCAAGAAAAATAGATTACAGAGAGGGACTTAGGAGGGAAGGTTTGAGACTCAAGCTCTGAGAGAAGAATCCGTTAAGGCTGCTATTGTGCAAAAATATATACAGAGAAAAGGTTATACATTTTTTCCTTTTGACCATTTTAATCTTATTTATTTTTGTTATTTATTTATTTACTCCTATTTTGTAGTACATATTTTTGTTATTAACTGTTTCTCTCTTTTTTTCATTTTTTGAGACTTTGACAACGATTGTGAGATTACGCATCATATAAAAGTGGAGGGTACAAAGATTGTGAGGTGCTTTGGTTATAAGTTAAAAGCAGAATTGGAAAATTAATGATGCCTCAATGATTTTTGAATTGGATTATGCCTATTTAGGTAGTATTTGTCCTTTAGTCACTGAAGGATAATGACATGGAAGTGAACTTGAGGAGTTAACGTTTTCAATAATGAGAATCTGTGCAAAGCAAAGTAGATGATGTTGTTTTTAACAATTCTTGTGACATGCATATAAACTGTATGTACTTGGTAGTCGAATAGATGGAGGAAGCAAAGTAGACAATATGATTCAAGTGGAGTCTGACAAAGAAAAGGATCACAACACTTGCCATCGAATGCTCTAGTGCCCATAGTTGGTGATCATTTAGTCGGAGTTCCTTTATGTCAAGAATTTAATGGTATTGGAAGTTTGAGGAAGAAGAGGAAAAAAGTAAGGGAAATAGAAATGATTAGGGCATGGATTAGATACTTTATCAAGTAAGAAAAAGAATATTGGAGGCCAAAGGAAAAACAGTTTAGAAGCTATGGAGGACATGAGAGCTTCTAAGGTGTTTGTAGACAACACAGGGGTAGTTGTGGTTCGGTTGGGTGAGGGCCCTAACCCTCGTGCAGGTTGATGGTTGTAATATGATGGAAGGGCATAAAGCAGAAAGGAGACTCTTAATGTCGAATTATTTTGGCTCTCTCCTTGAAGTTGATTTAATAGGTTAAGATATCCAATAACTTATGATGCTCATAATAACTTTTTTTCTATAATAGTTGCCTTGTTTAGGTCTATACAACGATTGCACTTGTAATTTTTGATCTCATATAACTCTTTTTGCCTAATTATCTATATTCGTTATGAGTATATTTTAAATTTATTATTGGTGCTACTATCTTTAAGCTATAGTGCCTTGATATGGAAATTCAATTGTAATATGTTTAATTTTAATTTTAATAAAATCTCTATATTTCATAAAAAAAAATTAGAATATCCTTAATAAATTAATACATAAAGAAGATACATTAAAGTCCATATTTTGTTTAACAAAAACAGAGGAAAAGGGGATGAAAGGGTAGACAATATCCCTCAATTTCCCTTCCTTTTTTCTCCCATCCCTTCTCTCATTTTAGTTATATTATAAAACTATAAGAAAAAATAAAGGAAAATTTCCACCCTCCCTCCATTACTATTAATAATTTAAGTTTGAGTTAATCTATAGACATTGACCCGAAGAGTTATTAGGCTAGTAATAGGTTTCAACCTAAATGATGTCACTTCTTACAAGTATGAACTCACATTGATGGTAATATGAACCTCATATCACTTATTTGTGGATTAGTAAACATTATTCTAATTATGAGCCTTTAAACAGGAGAAGTTATAATGACTTAAATCCTATATCGAGATGAAAGTTAGAATGTAATCAGAATATAATTGTTTTAATCAACTATTACTAATAAATTTAACTTAAGTTTCTGAGACCCATCATAATACTTGACCCAAAATTTTGTTAGATTAATGATGAGTTTTTATCCAAGTCACTTCGGTACTATATACTAATTATACTTTCACTTTTAACTGGACCTGTATTTCGCACCCAAAATAAAACGAAATGGCCGTCTTTTTGCCAACCTCAAATGTGACAGGCGCTCGGTTTGTGGTTCGAACCCAGCCTCGCCGTCATCCCCCTTTCTCATCGGCCCATCTCAGAACATGCTGGTGGACAGCATGCAAATGGGTCAATAATATTTCTTTGATGTCTTCAGTGGTCAGTGCAGAGAAGTATTAATGGGCCTAGAGTGACAACCCAAAAGCTTGTTGCATGGGCCACGGCAATAGTGGGTAGGAAAGTCTTATGGGGCACACCCCTATAAGACTGACAGATACTTGTGACATCAATCTGGTTTTGATTGGCGGCATGTTCCAAAATCTTTGCTCTTTGGTGGGGTTATCTTCTTCTTTTTCTTTTTTTTTTTGGTTTTTTAAGCTACGGTTAGAGTGCTTTTTAAAAAAAAAAAAAAATTTCTGCATTACTTAAAGATTAGTTCCTCTATATATTTTATGAGAAAATTTAAGGAACACTCCGTTGCGACTGCTTTTGCCAACAAAGTCTGATACATATTGTAAGAATAAGAAGGAAAAAGTTATGAGAAAATTTAAGGAACACTCCTCTCATTAGTTTTATATAATGTATTTTAAAAAATTAATTTTTTTAAACATTAACTCAAAAACTTTAACTATT